AGGTGACTATTAGAAAAGAATGGCAAGAAACATGGGTCAGAAATAGACCTTACATATTTGTTGATCTTAGCGCTTGCAAGTATTTCTCCACGAATGCCTGTAGCTCATTGACATGCGCTTCCTCCACATTGATAGCATTCTGCAAGACCTGTTACATGTACAGCCATAATAGAGATTGACAAACAACCATAAACTCTCAACATGATTCTGGACAGAGGACTTTTACTGGAGGATTCATTTCACGAGCTGATCATTTTCATTTCCAGCAAACAATGTTAGAATCTGGGAGTGCAATCACAGGTGTGTTGTGTCCAAATAAGTACTTTAGATACTGAGCGCACTATGCTGTCCCCCTGGAGGTACAGCATATCGGAGTTCCACGGTAATGATAGCCCAACTTACCATACTGTGATACGAGGCTGGCTCACTTGGCGGCACGGTCATTGTGGACAGCTCTCCTAACGACTCGGTGTAAGATGGCGTACCTTCAATCACGTTACCATCTGTACAACAATGACGACAATGAACAACAACAACAACAACAACAACAGTTCTCTTATTGGCCACAGGCCATCATGAGAATAGAATATTTCAAACATCCAGCACGCCATTCCATAGACCAGGCTTGAACACTAACGTGTAGGGCAATGGATACATGAACTGATGGGGCTCACCTTTATCCATTTCCTTGGTGTAAGCACAGGGAAACCAACCGAGTTTGTCGTCCACTCTGCCTTCCCACCAGCCACCTTCCATTTTCTAGCATCATCCAAGATTCAAAACATATACTTGTAACAACAGCACAAACTACAGTATGCAGACTTACTTGATGATACATTGCCAGGTATGATAAGATACTAGGTAGTGCACTTCACATGTTAATCCCATACTGTACATTCACAAGGATCTCTGTGCTACATACAAGCATGCAGGAATTATTTAGACTTTAGGTATAGAGTTACCTGGGTCACTTCAATGACATCTCCAATGTGAAATTGCAGCTGCAGAACCAATCCATGGTGTGAAGGTAACCGATGATCCAAAGAATTCAAACACACATACACATACGCAAGTAACACACATACCGGTATGCACAAACGGACACACACACATGGAAACATGCACAATGATGTTGAACACACAACAGAGATTGAGACATGATGATATAATGCGGCCATTTTTAACGTTTCTTTTGTTATAACCCGTCGAATTTTTGTTTTTTGTTAACCTATTTGCCCTCCTTAGAAAGAGGGATTGGTCAAAAATTAAAGTGACACGACAAAGCCAACGTCATGGTGCGGAGGAAGAAACAAGAACGTCACCCACTGATGAAATGTCATGGGGGTGGAACCGGCTGTGTCAATTCAGAGTGGCTAGGCTATCACAATGTGAAGACTAGGAAAACCGTATCCTAATTTTCTGTGTTTGCACAGCACATTGGAGCTGCAGGTATATCGTGCCAGTCCGGACCGGTCACAAACAGGTATTAAGCAACGAGGACACTCACCTCGTCTATACTGGAGCCTCGGTAACTGTATGCAGCCTTGCATCGGCTGATTGCGGGCCGATCAGAGGCTGTACTCGTTGTCTGGCGGTTCCTCATGCCAGCTTCGAGAGCTAGCTCGGACAACTGACCCGACGACACAACACTACCGGATACATCCTGCAAGCAAAGGCACGGTATTGATAAATCGATAATTGTACAGTTGATACGCCCTCGGGCATTTAAAAAAACATTTCAACAGTGTGGCGTCACATTACCTTTGGTGGGAGACTCTGTATGCTTCTACGCAGCAAGGAGATGGGCTTCTCTGCGTACGGCTTGTCCATGACAGGAGCAGCCTCCAGGCCTGGCATGGCCGGTGCAGCAGCTTTACTGCCTGTACCCAGTGGAGCTGCTGCCGGGGGTGGGCCGGCCGGTGAGGATGACGAAGAATCAGATGTCTTCGGTCCCATGCCCATACCTGTAATGTACAGAATACAAGACCAGTGTGAGTGGACAGGAGTGCCACCGCCACATCAATACCACATTCAAATGTCCGTTAAGAATAGAAAGGTAGTCATACTTGTTGCCTTGCGTGCGAGCTCGGACATCGTAGACAGCACTGCATCCATGTCGCGATCTTCGATCAAGTCTTCCGGCGCAAACTGGTGACAAAACAATACACGGCAAAGAGCAGGTTTTTAATTACGATCAAAAGACTAGAACGGAGCTGGAGCACAATTTCAATAACTACGATATACAATACATGTATGGATGAAGTTCAATTGCCCGGAAAAGATACAGTCGTGGCCAAAGGAATCCGACCCGCGAGTCAAAAGCAGCGCCGTGTTTCCATTTGAATTACATCATGCATGTTCCCAAAAACTGATCCGAGGGCTGCAGGGGCCGCATGAGCCTTGGCGCTGCTTTCGGCACGTGGGTTGGAATTCTTTGGCCACAACTGTACAATATATGTACGGATAAAGAATTTTAAGTTCAAATCAGGCCTGGAAGATATACAATACATGTAAAGGAAAATTCAAATCAGGCCCAGATGACCTCACTGGCACTGCTCACCTTTTGCACGCCGATCTTGTCACATGCCTCGAGGAACGTGGCCACGTTATCGTTCCACGCTGGACGATTCTCTATGTTGTAGTTCAGCTACAGAACACACACACACACACACACACACACACGCACACACACGCACATACACACACGTACACACACACACACGTACACACACACACACACACACACATACACATACACACATACATGTACAAACATACGTGAGACTATTCTCCTAGTCACCAAAACTAAATCGAGCCACAATGTACTAGCCAAATATTGCATACGCAAAGGAAAAAAATGAATGGAATTTCAGGATTTACGTCAACGCAATCACACTGTGACCTGTAATTTCAAAAACGACACCAAGCAAAGGCTCTATGTCTAAGTCAGTAAATGTGGACAAGCACAACAACTGCTGTAGTTGCAGTCGTAGTTGTGTACCTGTCCTTAGAATACGAGTTTCTCAGACTGAGACCTACATGTGCGCTCTGGGTGTGTCCCTGAGACGTTTGAGAGATAACACTCCACAAACTCCAAACCAAAGAAGGACCAACTGTCAGCGAATGCCGCGAACACACACAAGACACCTGCTCTCGCTAATAGTAGCAATAGTTATCACCTATAGCAGTGCCATACTGCTAGGCAAAATTTGCATTTAATGAGGAATATGAGAAATTTATAGAACAGCACAAAGGCAAATAAATATACACCATTGAAAACTGCACTTGCACTTGAAGTATCTTCTTAGACAAAAGGCCAGCCACACGAGGTCTCGTCTCAGAGAGGAAAGCTGCCATGGGTATCGTAACGAACAAAATACACTGGAAGCGAGACTTACCGCTGCAGCGCTTCTCGGCTTCAGGCGGTTTGCTAGCTGGCAGAGCACCAGGCCATCCCTGAGCAGCTCGTGAAGATTGTGCTCCGTATTCTCTTCAATGACCAGGCCCTGCAGCATGAGCCAGGCTTTCACCTCGTCTGCCTTCATCCTCCGACCGGCCATTGCGACCAATCAACACTAAAACGCTGACGCCAGCTTCCGTTTGAGCCAAGTCGAGGGTCGCAGGAGGCAGCGAGGCTCAGCTACTCGAGACAACAATACTACACACACAGCGCGGCGCACTGCTACGAAAAATTGACTCGCTTGCACGGTCGGTGTTGTGCTGAGGGCCACGAGCTATGGCTGTATTGTAACTGCCCTCAGCCAAAGAGATGCTCTATCATAATGACCTATTCTGTACAAACGCACTGCAAGAAAGAGAAAAGCCAAGCTCCTTCCCAAGTGACACTAGTTGCGAAAATACAGAGAACAAAACATTGCCGCACTGCACTCAACAGCCAACAAAACAGACAAGCATGCAATGCAGGAGCTACGTACATCTACATACATGTACGTCATCGATGCATCTCTCTCTACTCTACAACAGTACAAGACTACATCAG